TTTTTAGTAGAGACGGGGTTTCACCATGTTGGCCAGGATGGTCTCGATCTCTTGACCTCGTGATCCACCTGCCTCGGCCTCCCAAAGTGCTGGGATTACAGGCATGAACCACTGCACCCGGCCCATAAGACAGAGCTATCTTAACGTAAGTTCTTAACAGCTAACTTCAGAAAACTTAAACAGTTTATGAAAGTGGGTAAAATCTCTACAAGTCTTTGAAGAATATTAGCTATGAAAATGATTGTTATTTTTCAAAAAATAATAACAAGAACTTGGAATGGATAGTTATTTTGGTCAGAAGATTAACAGGGATTCTCTGACACCTGGGCAGATTCCCCATCTGATCTGTGCTCCTTCCCATTTGAACACTGGATAACTTTGAGAAATCTCCTTGGAGCATGTAGAAAAGCCAGCACAAAAAGCCAGGACATGGGCATGGACATACACATTCTCCACCCTTACACTCTTCTTTTTGTTTCTCTTGCTATTGCTACTATCATACCACCATCACTGAAATCTAGCAATAGTGTTAACATGTGCAATGGGTCGTTTTTGCTGGTCAGAGTACTTTCTAGGCTAAAAAGCAAAGGAAATAAAACAAATTTTCAACAACCTGTAGTGCCATATGCTGCTTTAAAGTTTATAAAGCAAGGCTGGGAGCTGTGGCTCATGCCTGTAATCCCAGCACTTTGGGAAGCCGAGGTGGGTGGATCACTTGAGCTCAGGAGTTTGAGACCAGCATAGGCAACATGTTGAAACTCTGTCTCTATAAAAAAGACAAAAATTAGCCAGGAGTGGTGGTGCACGCCTGTAGTCCCAGCTATTCGGGAGGCTGAGTAGAGAGTATCATTTAAGATCAGGAGGTCGAGGCTGCAGTGAGCCATGTTCACACCACTGCACTCTAGCCTGGGTGACCAGGTGAGACTCTGTCTCAAAAACAAACAAAAAAGCTTATAAAGCACCTTCACATAACCTGCAGGTGCTGTGCCCAGGGAACTCATTCTACTAAAGTTGCTCTTAATCTAAAGGGGAAGCAGTGAGATAAGCTGATTACTCTCTGGGGTTAGGGATTCTATGTTTCTTGTTTTGAAGCCCTGATATTCTGCTATCAGGTTGATGGATTGTTTGAGTAGACCCACCTGACAGTGTAAAGGAAATAGTTCTGATTTTTCTCCTCTCTAGGAAGTAAGAATGACCTAGAACAGATATCCTTCTCCAGGGTTGAAGGAGACACTCACGGTCACAAAAATCTAGGACAAAATGTTTCATTCAGTAAAACTAGCTCCTACAGTAAGTTATGTTACATTCAGCCAATTAGGGATTAATTTTCAAAAGATTCCAGATAAGCAAGGGTAATTTGAACTTTGTAAAACATTGTTATAAACTCTTCAATGGTCCTTTCCAGAGAGCTCTGTCCACCCTTGAGTAACTAGAAGCGCGCCTTTGCTCAAGTTGAGAGCTGATATCAGGACAGAAACATGTACTGCCATGTAGAAGGGTAAAGAGTAGCGAAAATACTAGAAATTCCACCTTAAAGTGGCCAGGTTTTTAATAATTAAGGTACCAATAAATATAAAGAATATAAAATGGTTCTTAAGGAATATAACCAAACTGGGTTTCAAATTGTTTTTTTAGGGACATGGACACAGATTCCTATGAAAGCCTTATATTTAGTGGTTAGGTATCAGGTTTATCCCTAAAATCTATTAAAACTATATTGACTCTGAAATGGCACTTTTAATTCCCTTAAGATTCCATCCTCACCTACTCCCAATGGAAGTCTTCAATTTATTAGATAATTGGAAAATTGAGACTGGAGACTGAATTGAACCATGAACCATGAGGGGTGAGGAGTGGGTGAAGGTGGGCCTTTCTTGGTTTAGCAGCACTCAAATTAGCATAAGAAGAAACTTATGCTACTTCTGGGAGATGACCCAGAAAATGTGGCCATCAAAAACAACAATGTTCATATGTCTGAGTCCCATTTATTAAATCTATGAGTTAGTGACTGAAGGACTTAGGTTTCTTTCAAATTAAGTTAAATTCCATTAGAATAAGATTGATAACTTGGACAAACTTTACTTTTAAGATTCCTATGAAAGGGACTGTAGTACTACTGTTGCACCTTATCCCATTCAGTCATCAGAACTTGTGTTGGGCATATGGCCAGTCCCTAGAAATACTTGCTTCATGAATTGAATAAGACGATTAACTAAGATGACTGACATGCCTTGGTGTAATCGGCCTTTGCAAAGATGAACTCTTCAAGGTTTGTCTAAGATTTGAGAAGCCCACTGAGAGTGTGCCAATGGATTATTAATAAGCACTCATACAAGTAAATGTAGTCAATCCACAGCAAAACTTCAGCACTAATGAGATAAAAAGGCTTTGGGCATATTACCTAACCTCAATGTCCTCATCTATAAAATGTAGATAATAGCAACAACTATCATATAGGGTTATTATGCGGATTAAATGAGACAAGGCACATGGAGTAATTAGAAGAGTGTCTGGCAGGTAGGAATTAGGGGAATGACTATGCAGATGCATTTATGTAGATGAGCAGACCTCTAGGGTAACTCAGGAACAATAGAAGGTCCTAAACATAAAGGGGTCATGGGAACCCTACACTGTTTATGAATCTTGGCTGCATCATTGTGAACTAATTAAGGACCAGCTAAGGCACCTGCCCCTTTCCAGAAGAATTGGCACTGTGTAAGATCCTGCTACTGTGTGGTATGACTTGAAAATACATGCTGAAATGACTTTTCCTAACAGCCCAGAGATATGTGGCCATGGAATAGAAATTGGGTTGAATAATAAAAAAGTCATATTTCACAACCCACTTTAGCCATTATTATTAGGGAACCAAATGATATATCCAAATATCAAAAGAGAGAGCGGGGATAAGGCACAAGGGGCTTGAGAAGAATTTTGCTCTAGATACATTTTACTGTCCCAATAGCCATGCCATAATTTCTAAAGGGGCCTATGGGGAAAAATCTGAGAAAGGTAAGGAACTCATTTGAAACCTCTTTTGTATAACAGCTTTTTTTTTTTTTTTTGAGACAGAGTCTTGCTCTGTCACCCAAGCTGGAGTGCAGTGGCACTATCTCAGCTCACTGCAAACTTCACTTCCCGGGTTCAGCTTCCGAGTAGCTGAGATCACAGGTGTGTGCCACCATGCCCAGCTAATTTTTCTTTTTTTTTTTTCTTGTATTTTAGTAGAGATAAGGTTTCACCATGTTGGCCAGGCTGGTCTCAAACTCCTGACTTCAGGTGATCTGCCTACCTTGGTCTCCCAGAGTGCTGGGATTACAGGCATGAGCCACCATGCCCAGCCTTGTATAATATCTTATATAAGATTGAGAAAACATCAATTGTTCCACATGAAAAAAAAATGCAGGGAGTGGTTGTGCCTGCAAACGAGGAGAGGTAGGGTCATGAGCTTGTTTAACCCCTTAGGAGAAACAACTTTTCCTCAAGCCTTTTAGAAAAATGCCCTTGATCACATGATCTTAGATTATGTGGTGAGACTACAATTCTTTTTTTTTTTTTTTTTTTTTGGGGGACGGAGTTTCGCTCTTGTTACCCAGGCTGGAGTGTAATGGTGCGATCT